AAGAAGAAGAAGAACAACAACAACAGCAGCAACAACAACAACAACAACAACCACAACCACAGCGTCAACCACAACGACAGCGACAACGACAACGACAACGACAACGACAACGACAACGACAACGACAACCACCACCACCACCACCACCACCACCACCACCACCACAACAACAACAACAACAACAACAACAACAACCACGACGACGACGACGACGACGACGACGACGACGACAACTTAAGTATTTCTACGTGTCACCGTCGCTGAAGCACATGCTAATCGCTGAAATAACTCATTTAAGCGAGACACGGCGAAGCTTCCTGCAAGGAAGATGGCATAAGCTGCCTGGGCGATGCGGACATCAACTAGGCTTTCGGAGCTGAGCCGTCTCAGAGCCCTGTGTGCAAATCGGGCAGGCCCTTCTCGACAATCACTTGCTATGCCAGTGCTGTTCGGCCATCACGCTTGGAATTACAGCTAAAGGCCAAGCCTGGGAACACCAACAATCACGGCCACGACGACAAGGAAGACAACCAGTACAATGAGGATGATGATGCTGATGGTGATCGTGCTAATCGTGATGATAGTCGGGGTGATAACGAAAATGATAGTGAGGCTGGTGGTGATGGCTCATCGCTAATGATATATGTAGTAGTTCGTGATTCTGCATGACGGACATGACGCTCGTAGTCGCAGTCCCCATCGTGACAAGCACCGGCAACTGTAGTCTCGACCGCATTTGTGCGTCAGTAGCAAGCTACGAGCCCAAGACCCTACGCCAGGCAACTAACCATAACTGCATTCAAGCCACCGCGACAAAGCCTTAGCCCGTTCAGCTGCAGTGGAGGCAAACATGGGAGTCAGTGAAGTTAGGGATACTGTAGTTATTTAGGGGTCCTTACAATTCTGTATCCTGCTAGCTAAAGGTCTATACTTGGGTTCCTATTTTTCGCGACACCAGCCCATGAAATGTGATGGGCCATGGCTTGCGCACACATCTGTTCCAAAACATGCCTACAACAGGCTTCCGTCAGCTCAAGAGATGCAACAGGACCCTAAACCCTTTAGGGTAGTGCATCCAGCTTCGAGATGTCTGTGAGAAAAGCCTTGCGTCTTGGATGAAACAATCCAGTGCCAGAAAGACACGAGGAGGGCTCTTCTTCTCGGACTGCTGAATGGCAAACATTGCTCCCAGCATCTTCAGATCACTCCCATGTCCTTCAGAAAGGATGCTTTACATCGAAAAGAGATTCTCACGAGATTTCTCGCATGGCAAGCTGGAGCATGCAGAGAAGTGAGTCTAGCCACCTGCCTATTCGCTATACTTCAACAGGCAGTTGGTGGGGCGCCAAACCCAAGCCAAACCCCGCCGTTCGACCAGTGTGCGTTTGAGTCTTGCATAGATTCCGCTTTCACGGCGCTGGCTGCTTGGACGTCACTGGAAACCCTGGGCAGCCTGTGAATCGACGCAATTTTTCAAGTGCAATACTGAATTGATGTTTAGGGTTTAGGGTTTCGAGGTTCAGTTTAGAGTTGGACAACAAGTGGAGCACTGGGCACTGCACTCGCGCCTGTGGAATGAGTAAGGCTTGGCTTAGTTGCGCAGGGCCAGAAAAGATTTCTGAACCCTTGCGAGCCGAAAATGGCGACGGTGATGTTTGGACCCGATGCGAAAAGTGGCTGCACAGCCGACAGAATGGTGTAGAGCAACAAACTACGTAAGTAAAAGTCATATACAATCAATGGTGTAGAATGCTGCCAGCAGAAAAGTGCTGTCGACGAACACCAAAGACGACAGTGGTCCTCGCGACGGTCCAGAACTCGCGTGGACACAGAGAAAAGAGGGCCTTCGCAAATAGAACTTGAGCCTGACCCTACTAGGACGATTATGAGTCTGCGAGCCTGCTTCGAAGTTGCAGACATCTTCCCTATGCCTTTACGTATAGTGGCCCGAGTCCATGGCAATAAGAGGGAAACACGGATGCAAGTGGGCGTACCGGCCAGCCCTTTCAGCATGGTAAGCGTCATCGGCCAAGAGCATTGCGCCTCCAATGAGAGCTTCGCTTTCGGGTTTGGGATCCTTAATCCTAAATTATGAAGGCCTTATAAGCCTCAGGGACTGAATCGGGGCTTGGATTTTGGGCTTAGGGTTTATGGTTTAAGCGTTCGGGGTCTTGAACTTAAGGTACACGCAGAGACACCCGCCCGCACACCTCTGGCAGAAACGAATCCACTGCCTCAGCCCATTGCCATCCACCAGTGCCCTAAATCCTAATCACCTTAGAGGCTGATGCAGAGACAAAGGACTCCTCTAAGGACGAGCTCTGGAGAAAAGGTTTGAGTCTGTTTGCCGACCTCAACCTAACATCATGTCCACTCCCTCTCTGCATTGATTGAGCTCTCATACTTCCTTTTGGCTCTTTATCTGCCCAGAATGTGCGGCCGTCATCCCCGTGTACATGGAGCCCCACCGAGCATCGACAATCACTGGTGGCTTCTACGACTGATGCTCCCCAGGGTTGCAGAAGAAACGCTCTCGCCACTCCCGTGCCTTTAAAGAGGCCCGCTGCTCTGCGACGTCATTTGCGTCGGGCGATATAAAAAAAAGCGATTGCGGCCTCTGACTTCGATTGCACAGCTTTTGCTGAGTCCTAGATGGCCACCTAAGTGAGAGGCCTAGAAAGCCGGGAGCTCAGGGGAAGCCATGGATGAAATGCGGCCTGACCTCCTGCCAAAGACCAAGCTACTGATATCTGGCCCGCCCGGTCACCTCTCTAATGGCATGCTTGGTCCAACGCCAGGGCATCACACAAGAACTGTCAAAGTGCACCGAAACAAAACCCCCGTAGGTCCCGAAGCCAGAAAGCCCTCCAGGAGCAAGCAGAGGCTAACCCCACACCTCACATCCTATACTCCCCCCTATACTTTCACCCCATTTCTCAACCCGCCTAAGATTTCAACCCTTAAATCCCGCAATACACAAAGCACCTCCCAACAAACCAACACACTTATAAAGCAACCTACCAAACCAATACAATCATCCAGAACACAGCCCAAAACCCAAAGCACAAAACAAAATCCGAAGCACCGCCCTGACCCCACACCTCACATCCTGAAGCGTCATTTCCGAGTTCAGGGTTATAATCGTTTGGGTTTTTCTATTAGGGTCTTACCCCACACCTCATACCAGGATATTGGTTATAGAATGGATTAGGGTAAGTATTGTTTAGGTGCTTTGGGTTTAGGGTTGTGTTATGGATAAATGTATTTGGTTTGGTGGGTTGCTTTGTTTCGGGATAATTGTATTGGTTTGTTGGGAGGTGCTTTGTGTTTTGCGGGATTTATTGGTTGAAATCTTAGGCGAGTTGAGAAATGGGGTGAAAGTATAGGGGGGAGTATAGGATGTGAGGTGTGGGGTTAGCCTATGTTTGCTCCAGGATCGTCGTCCATCGTAGATCTTCAAAACTTCAGATATCGGAAAAACATGGAGTCGCAGTTCGCGTGGCACTTGCACAGGGTCTTGCTGAACTTCTTTCTCTCCGTGCCACAACCTCGTGTCCAGCAATAGCTACGAAGTTGCAGTTGCTAGGGTGGAGGTGCCATAGCAGTTACATAAGTTGCATCCAGAACTATCTTCAAGAGCCTCTTGCAAGTTAAGCTCGAGCCCCTAGACCCTGAACGCCCCAAACCCGAAACCCACAAGTCCAAACCCTGGAACCTTGGACCCGCAAACCTGACAAGCCCTACCCTCCTAACATAGGGGCTTCAATCATTAGAACAGGGTTTGGGGGTATATCCCAAAACCCTATTCTAGTTATGAAGGCCCCTAAGCACACAGGTCTCAGGCGTCTCGGATCAGATCTGGTGCTCGGCAACCTCGAAGCCCAGAGAGCTGCATGCAAGGGAGCCGAACGCGCCGGGTTTGGAGATCATCATCTATAACGGGATCTATAATAGGTCCGTGTACGGCTACTCTAGTTTAGTTTAAAGGGATCCATAGTTAATGATAGGTTTATATCTCTACATATATATATATATGGTTACTATAAGGGTTCCTTCAAGGGATCTTTAAGGTACTGCTGAAGGATCTACAAATCTATAAGGGTACGATGAGCGTTCTGCTAAGGGACCTGGTCCCTAAGGGCAGTTATGAAACATCCCTTAAGGGGTCTATCAGGGTACCATGAGGGTTCGTTTAAAGGGATCTATGAAGGTACTAGGACGGTTCTACCAGGGGGTTTGAAGGGGTGGGTTTAGGGCCTGAGCCGTCAAACAACCTAGGTTGCAAGCCTGGAGCCCTGCATCCTGCTTCGCACACCATCGACAGCAAAGCCGTCATCGCATGGAAACCTCATAACGCCAGTCAAACTGTTCAGAGCTCTATATTAAAGCTTTCAGCCCTTATAGAGCCCTTAGACAGCCCGATAATTACCCGTTTAAGCAGATCAACCGCATGCAAAAAGAATCTCCAAAGAAATGTTATATCACCCTGTAGAACCCTATCATAGACAAAACCAACATCACACCAACAAAAACTCTTGAGCCGGAGCGCGGGACCCGGAAGACCAACAGCTCCCGACCTGGCTGAAGCCTAGCCGCCTCCTCGGCTCGATGTTGGTAATTCTGAGTCATGGGTTGTTTAGGTTTAAACAGGCTTTGACTTAGGGTTTAGGGTTTAGGAGTCGGGTCGGCATTTGTGGGTTTTGGGGTGCAGGGGTTTTAGGCTTTGGTTGGGGCTTCGGGGATGAGTGTTTGACGTGTTTGATTTTTGGGTTTGGGTTGAGGACTTTGCGTTTTGGAATTCAGGAGCGTGGTTTTGGGTTTAGGCTGTTTTGCTTTCGAAGACGATTCAAAAATCCCTTACTTGCCTGACTTCGAGGAAGCTTCGCGACTTAGTATGTGTTGCAGCAAAAAGTAGAAAACGGCACTGGGTACTCACAACTCCATGTGATATTTACCAAGTCCCTGGTCCTCGAACCCCCAAAACCAAAGACCCGGTCTCTGATAGCATCTGAGGCACCACCAGGAGAAGCCTGAAACAGACGCTTGGCTCTTGGAGTATATTAAAGGTTCGTGGGACACAGTAACTCGCGTTATAAATAAGGTAACCATGCGTATGATACGTTATGAGTAACAACTGTAATCCTTCCTGAAGTGCTTATAACCTTGCCTAGTAAGTTCCCTCCAAGTAGGCTTAAGGGTTGAGGCCTGGGTTTGGAGTTCAGCCCAAGTTGACCCTTGACACTGCAAACTAAGGACTCGCCTGAACCGGGAAGCGGTGAAGAAGATACTCCGGGGGGCTGGAAGGCTTGAAAGATGTCAGTACAATCAATCACCTGCACAGGCTAGATCAGCGATATGATATACGATTGTCCTCATTTTACAATTTCAACAAGCCCCAGAAATTACACTCGCCAATTTCCAAAACTAAGAGGAGCCACAACAGGGCGCAAAGTGGATAGACATATGCATTCAGCACCCATATCATCATCATCATCATCATCATCATCATCATGATCATCACCATCGTCATCATCGTCATAGCCACCGCCATTCCTACCAGCACCTGTCTTACTGTTGTGATCACCGCACCATCACTGTCATGCAACAGAGTGCAAGCACCCTGGTTGTCATCGACTTCACCATGCGCAGCACTTTCAATGCCGCTGTCGCCATCACCAACACCCACAGCAGCAGCAGCAGCAGCAGCAGCAGCAGCAGCAGCAGCAGCAGCAGCAGCAGCAGCAGCGTCATTACTAGGTACGAAGACCATCATCATGTCACTTCCCCACCACCACCACCACCGCCACCACCACCACCACCACCACCACCAATACCATTCTCATGTCAGCGTCATCGTGCCACAAAACCTTGAAGCTCTGTGCCAAGAACTCAACCCAATTCGGCGCAAGCCTCTTGCGCCTCGCGACGACGATGGCTATTATTACGGCTACAGTATGATTACCAACCGTTACCATTGTCATTGTGCGTGAGGTTGCAATTATCTGTCGCACCATGACTTATCCTGACGTTTGCGATGATGCTGATGATGATGCTGATGGTCTTTTACGATATTGATTGTGGTTTCCTTGGTTTGTACTACAATTACACCCTTAAACGCCTCTTTTTACTACGAGCATGCCCCTGGACCCTACCTCTGGGCTCCATTGTAGTTCCTTGTTGTGGTTTATGCTTGGGATCACAGTATCATATAATTATTAAGGCTCCCACTGTCAACCCCTAAATCCCTAAACCCCTAGACCTTTTTCGCCCCAAACCCCCTAAACCAACCCTAAACCCTAAAACCCTCAACCCTCAACCCTAAACCCTGAACCCTAAACCCAACACCCTCAATCCCAAACCCTAGAACCCTAAACCCAACACCCTCAACCCTAAACCCTGAACCCTAAACCCAACACCCTCAATCCCAAACCCTAGAACCTTAAACCCAACACCCTCAATCCTAAAC